ATACGGCTATTTTTTAACATTCCTTCAATTGCTAGCTTTTACATATATCGTCAACGTTCTGGGGGCCCACAATGTGTTTTATTGTTTTGCAGGAATCAACATTTTAGGAGTTTGTGTTAGTGCTTTCTTTCTTAGGGAGACAAAAGGGAAAACTGTTGATGAAATCGAAAAGGATTTGATTGGGAGAAAAGAGTAATTACAAATAAATGTGATTGATAGATCACTTGTTGTCCCTTTTTATACGTCACTGATTTGAAATAGCCAAGAGTCAAAAATACAGATCCAAGATAAGTAATTAGTAACCATATCAAGCTATGCAGAATTCATAATTCAAACTTAAACGGAAATACGAACGCACTGTTCAGTAACCCAATTTGACTAAAATAATTTCCTTTGTAACTGTTGTCTTTGAACTCTTCATGGAGCAGCATACCAAATCCTTTATAAATACAGCGGAGTACCGTCACTTATATTTACGATGCCTTGTTATGGAGAATGATAAACTATAACGCACTTAAATAAACTCAATATTATTTAACTGTTAAAACGTCAACGTGATTTATCAAGTTTCTGTAAAATCATAATTAATATTTATAGTTATTTATTTTATATGTTTCATTATGTTTTTTCCAAATAAAGTAAAATAAATAAAATAAAATATTAATATTGTAAAATATAAGATTGTCCGTGTTGTGACGGATTAAGAATACGGAGTGTCACCACCTTTATTCATCGCGCGGGTGTCGTAAGAGCCAACTAAGGGAGTAAACACGCAGGACAACAGCACAGCAAAAAGAAAGAAAACTTGACCCAAACCCTATACCAACCAGTCTGGCCAACATGATATAGTATGCCAAAACCTCCTTTCTGAGGAGAGGCCTACGTCCAGGAGTGGACTATTAAAGGCTATTGATGATGATGACGATGAGATTGCCCATTATAGTGTGTGTAACCATTTTTTGTTACTTCAAAATTTACCTTAAGCAATCTTTCATAACTGAAACGCAAACGTGTCGATACTCCTCTGATTTCCACTGTACTAACATGTCAATTGCAAACAGCTAGACATAGCTAGACGTAGTGGTTTAAGCGGTCGCCACACCACTTCTTACTACGTTTTGTCTCAATGTTTTGTTTGAAACTAGATGGCGTTGTGTCTCACATAACCGAAAATATGAGTCTCATTATTATTACTCATAAACCACCCTATTTTGCTGTTGAAAGTGTAAGCCGACTCTCTAAAAGGGTGCAGGTTATTTTACCAATACATAGTAAAACATTAGAAAAATTCTTCACTCACGCTCGCTCACCAAGCAGGTGTAGTACTAGCTATAAATAAATAAATAATAAATTAAAAATAATAATTCGAAAATTTGTACTTCAATACACATTTACACAAGGCAGAAGCAATTGATTTATTAATTTATTGGACAGCTAGTAGTTGTTACATTATTTACTAAAATCTAAAGAATGCATCCGTTATATTGAGATTAATGCACAACATTCTAAGGCGTCACATCATGCATAACAGACTATACGAATCGACTATACAGGACTGCACGGATGGCGTAATGGTTTAAGCGGTCGCCACGCCGCTCACTACTACGCTGAGTGTTGTAGGTCCGATCCCCACATGGGACGATACTTTGAGTGATCTACAAATTGTTGTTCTGAGTCTGGGTGTTCTTTGTGTCCGTTTCATGTATGTTTGTAAAGTCCCCCGCGACAAAGGTTATAAGAAAAAATAGAAACGAAATGCTATAAGAGTCTTGTAGAGTGGATCTATGTCTGAATAAATTAAAATATGGTTAAAAATTGTTTTATTTTTTAGTCTATGTCGATTTGAGCGGTTTATTTTATTGATACTCGTCGAAAACCAATCCAGTACACGACCATGATTACTTTTAGTACCTACCTATTACCATACTTTCAGGAGTTGTGTGTTATATCTTAATGTAATTTCATAACCTTGATTTTATTTACAGTCGCATCCAAATCTTAAAGAAAGTTATGTAGGGAAAGATATACACAAATTAATTTAACTAATTTAATTCTATACCATTTTTCAAGAAGTGCAAATCGTAAAAAAGAAATAGTGAGAGAGCAATGCTATGGCACAAATGGTCCTGTTCAACTGGAGTAATAACACAGCCTACAGATTTACCACAACATATTATTCAGATAGACTTAAATGAAATTTGGTAGGTTGCCCCGTTATCATAATATAAAAATAGTGTTGTGTCCTGAATGATCAAGTTTATTCAATTTATTAGTTTGAATTTGCATTGATGAGTAACCTGGATTTATAATTGTAGTGACATTTTCAGAATAGAAGCTTAAGTCATACGTACATATTTTAATATCCTTAATCCAAACAAAACTGCACTGTTATTTTAATTGGTATGCCGTAATCAGGTATAACAAATTAACTATGCTTGCTAAATCATCTACTTCCTAGATTATTTACTTTTATTTGACTAGTGAAAAGAATATGCACATTACTTTCACGGGTAGGTAGAGCAGGTGAGTTGTTCACTGTAAATGCTTATTTGTCTACGAGTATTTACCATAACTATTTTTAACCCCCAACGTAAAAACGACGGGCGTTATAAGTTTGACGTGTCTGTTTGTGTGTGTGTATGTGTCTGGCTGTGCCCAGATACACACACAGAACCAGATACACGAAGAGTAAATGGTAAAAATGAATAAAACCAAAATTTCTAAATTACTATTTATTTTCGAATCACCTTTAGATTCTGTGTTTGTAACAATTATTATAAAGCTTTATGCTACCTCATCAATGGCATCATTTTGTGTTCTTCTTTTATACATTGATCAACGCAATTCGACTAAAGTTGTGGTGTCACTATCTTCAGTACGTCACTGAATATATATTTTTTTTAATTTCCATTTTAAAACTCGTATTATATTTTTTTTAGGAAAGGTACTATACATAATTTTATTTATAAAAACATTCTGTCATATTAATAGTGCAAATCGATAAAGTCAATAAATCGACTAAGTTGATACATATTACAACGCCATTTTTTTCTATAGCCAGAATCGTTTCCTACAATATTTCACCTAGTTATTACTGATCTTTTACATTTACGTCATCCACTATTCATGTTTTACCACTAATCGCGCCTTGGTCACCCCGACCCTAAAACCCATCACTCTTTGGAGAGCATAACTAGTTTCTTATCGCTAAATGGTGTTGACTCGTCCGAAACAAGATTGTGTTTACATAATTTTATCTGATGCACGTTTTACGGTTATAGACCGCCTTTGACGTGATACTCATCAAGGATATGAAGGCTGCGTAATATACCAGTTTGTTTTCTCTTGTAGGTACATTGCTTTTATGTCACCGGGATAACGATATATGCATATATTTCCTGGCTGATATTAATTGCGTGGGTTTACACTACAAATTATTAGAAAAAAAGTAATGTAATCGGTCTTTCTTAAGATATGGCGTGGCCAAGAGAAATAAGAATACATTTTTATATACATAAATTGGTATTAGAGTACCTATTAAAACTTATAAAATCTACCATTATCTCTTATTCTCCTACGTAAAATTAAAAAGATGTTTTGCTCTTATAATTTTGCAAGGCTCTAAGTCTTACCTAATAAAATCGATTGATTGAAAAAAAAGTCAAATCTTTAAAATTCACTGATTTTTTTTTATATTTTCCTTCAACGCAACTTCGGCGAACTTGGGTCAATTATTGATGTAAAAATTTATAATACTAACTAATCTTGTAAGTGCGTTTGTTGTCTGTTTTTTGTTTCTTACGATCTTATAAACTGAATTTGAACTTAGTCTATATAATTGTGCCTCTCCAAGACTTCCTCAAAATTAGAAATATTAAAAAAAAAACTTTTTTATCTAAGGGCTTGGATTCCCGACGATTCCACATTTTATAATTTTCTGTTAAATGAGTAGACGATTACTTGGTGCTAAAGTTTTAATGCTACTAAAATACATAATTATTATAATGTTAACACGAACTGAACTTATGCTGCACGCAGGTCGAACATTTTCTGACATTCGTCAAATATTACCTATTAAGGATACAGTCTCATTATTTCTTAATAAGGTTTGACATCGAATAATAAAGATAATTTATATATGGCAACATTTAACTTCATTCTAATGTAATCAGACTCTAATTCTTAGACATCAAACTAGATTAGAGATCAAAGAGATTAGTTTTGCAGCAATGTGCTTTAATGCTTAATGTAATATTTGTAAAATATAATGCGAATATCACTTGTAAATGTATCTTAAATGAAACATACCTAATAATATATTTAGTATCTGCAGCTGTCTATTAACAGTAAATGAAGTGTTTCAAGGCAAGCTTTTGAAGATTGTGTATGAACCGTTTTTTTTTTGTATAATTAGAAGAGTAGCTTATCATTTAAATCCATTCGAATTATAAAAAAAAAAAACAATATTCTTCCTCCAAGCCTGTTTTCAAAAACTAGGTTGGGGTCGGGTTTAAGTCTACTACGATGCGGCTGAACTTCGATTTCGAGCTTAACGTGTTCTCCGAGGCACGGATGGATTTCAATGTGTTAGGAACGGTCACTCATCCATAAACTTACTGACTAGCTTAACTTTGTAATGTATTAACCAACTCGGTTACCACGTAGCCACGAGCCCCGTTCATCCTCTCCCTCACCGCCTTTATCAAAAAATCAATCCCTAAATCTAAAAGTACATTGTTCCGCCGTATTTCCATTAGATCTTAATGGCACAGTACCTAAAAATTAAACATGTTCTCTTTTTATACAATGTAATCAATTTGTAAGCAACTGTTTGTAATCAAAGGGATGTTATTGTAACTACATCTATAAGAAGTTTTAAGTGTCAGTTATTAGACGAAAGGCATTTCATTCACATGTTACTTATTGGATGGCTACAGCAGAACCTATTCATAAACTTGCAAGCTTATAACTAAATAAACTAAAACATGTTTTCCTTTCAGATTCGCGCTAAAGTGATGGGCATCTTCTGTACATACGCCTATTTTCTCTGCTTCCTTCAGTTGGTAGCTTTCACATCTATCTCCAAGGTTCTGGGGGCCCACAATGTGTTTTACTGTTATGCTTTAATCAACATTTTGGGAGCTTCTGTTTGTGCTTTCTTACTTAAGGAGACAAAAGGAAAAACGGTTGATGACATCGAAATGGATTTGATTGGAAGAAAAGAGTTGTTAAAAATAAATGTGATTAGTTAATTACTTTTTGTCTCTGTTTATCCCTACGCCATCGAACCACTTCATCAGACTTAAGATATCGTTTATTGTATTCAATACTTAGAGTAACGAGCTAAGTCAAGATTGCAAGTGTATGTATATTGCCGTAGTGTATTGCAGTAGTTTGTGATAAGATAAATCTATTCAGAATTCATAATCCAAATACAAATCCATTTAAATGGAACTATAACCACTTTGTTAACTAAATTAAAATGATTTCCTTTGAGGCTGTTGTCTTTGAACTCTTCATGGAGTAGAATACTAAAACCTTCCGAAATTTATATTCAGAATTTATATCTGGTGTATCTATTTATATAGCATGTTTTACTTACTTTAAATACTACTAATATACATATATTATTGCATACACAACTTTGAAAAATCGTCATGCTTTTTAATCAACTGTTTTAATGGCGAGGTGGTTTAAGAGCTCACCTCCAACTGCGCTGAGTGTTGTGGGTTCGATCCCCATATTGGACAAAACTTTGTGGGATCCACAAATTGTTGTTTTGAGTCTGGGTGTTCTGTGTGTCCGTTTCATGTGTGTTTGTTAAGTCCCCCGCGACACAGGATTGTATTCCTAATGCGGGAGTCGGCTTTTAAAAAAAGAATGGTATGCCATTGAATATAGTAGGTAGTATAATAATAGGAAGGTCAACAATATTTACTGTCACCCAAGTTTAGATTCATCACTAATCTGCAATACCCTATTAATGATATACATATATGTATTTGTATCGAAAATATTAGATCTGATAGTTAATTACTTGTTCAGGTCCATATTATTTCATCTTTTAAAATTCTTATTAGTCTATTGTAAATGATCAGTTTTTAAAATAAATAAACTGATAGTTGAAATTAGAAATCCAGACACGGATAGATTAGGATGGATTACAAAAAATGACTTTATTTAAAGGATTCGATTTTATACTCGTAGTGTCGATTAGTTTTACTATCATGATTTTAAATGTAGCAAATAAACAAATTTTATTTTTGTTTTTTCCTTAATTAATTTATTATTTTCTTTCTCTTTCACTTGTCAGTCAGTCTGGTAAAAATAAGATTATAGAAGAATAAAGAGTTTTTCTTTGCACACAAAACCTTCACCTGGAAACAATTCCTTAAGTACTTAAAACATTTATTAACCATTTATAATATCTTAAAATAAAGTGATGCACGAAAATACATTCATTCATCCAACTTATACTTTTAGCACTAAAATATGAATAGATCGAAAAAGAGAATAATAAATAGTTATGAGGGATTATTCTGCAGAAAAAAAAGGTTTTCTTCACAATCAGACGATTTCGTTCCGATCTGAATTCAGAGATATGAAATACGAAAATAATTTATTGAAAACACGCTTCCAAAATAATACTGAAATTATGATTTTGTGATTTTCCCTTTACAAACTGCCGTAGATTGGGCATAAATTACAAAAAAAAAATGATTTTTTTGCAAAAAAGTGATAATTTTAACTTTGTTTAAGTAAGCAGTAACATACACATTTGGGAAAACCTCAACCGAAAAGGGGGAAATATACGCCGCCCAACTTTTTAATAGGATGGTTGAGTTAAGATAAAAAATTTGTACGGTTCTAATATTCAAATATGTAGGTGCGGGTGCCATTAGGTGGAATTTATGGCCCTGAATCAGGTTTTTAAAATATTATTCAGAAAAGGGTTTAGTATATTTATTAATGGTTTTCATTTTAAAGATCAATTGTGTTTTTGAAGTTTATTTTATTTCGGTGATTTTGTTAGATATTGTGCAAAATTAAATATTGTCTAGTGACCTTTTAGAAGTGTAAAATTTATTATTTATTAACATAATATCGTCTTGTAAATTAGCTATGACAGTAATTGATATATTTCTGAACAGGACATTAAACATACACATATTTTAAATCGGGAAGGCAATGAGAACTTTGAAAGGATTTCTTTCCGTTATTGCCAAACGTAAAGAGCAGAAATTGGGACACAACTAATTGAAATTTCCGGTGAGCTCCTTCTATTTAAGTGTGCTTTGTGCTTGAAATAGGTCAAACATTAAGTCTGTAATAACTCATAGTTTGTTTTATTCGTTAACCAGTTATTAGTTGGTCAGTTTAATAATAGCTTTATTCTGTATTTTAAATTGTAATTTACATATTTATATGTATCAGGCTTCCACCATATTCTTTGATCTGTACTTTCAACCACACTGAGGTTTACCATCCTGCACCTCCGTCCTCCATACTTGATTCAAGGTTTTTACCTAGCCTCCAGTAAAGAGAAGCTACGTTTACAACCCAATAGGTACCTGTTAGCCTATGAACAGTTTTCATGGTAACCCCAGTTCTTCGGGTACTCTCTGCTTAAGAGAGGAGTGTATGAAAAAATGAGTGACTCAAAGGTCGGCCTTCAGCCTTAAACATGTACTGACTTTCAAAAATAAAATAAGGGAGCCAAAAAATATTTTTTAACCTCCGAGTTACCGATCGATGTGTAACACACACTTTGATGTGTACACTTTCGAATTGCCTGACGTTTCAATCAGATTTCAGTGGCCACAGCCAATGACTACAATCACAAAGGAGAATGTCAGGGTTTCTATGAAATTTGGTCTAACCCTCTAATAGCTACTTCTGATACATTATTGGATAAGTATTAATTGAGCGGTTGCGATACGGTTGTATCACTCTTATTTGGTTGAACAATTTCCAATAATTAAAGTGTGGGTTAATCATCAAACAAAGTTGTAGGCAAGCATATTGATTGTTCACCTACAAAGTGTTATACGATTAAACACGGTAAGTGAAGCTAAATACGGTGGTATGTTTTTTAATTCCTCATCAAGTGAAGCCGGTCCACGTTAGCTATTCCTAAGTTTACTTGGCATAACATGTCTAGATACGGAAATAGCATGGCAGGTACATAGATATAAACTAATCGTCTCAGGTAGCATTTATCATTAACCCCGACGGAAAACAAGGGGTGTTATAAGTTTAACCTGTGTGTGTCTCTCCGTGGCAACATAGCTCCCGAACGGATGGACCAATTTCGATGCGGATTTTTTATTCAAAAGCTCATATGATCTAGGTGGTTCTTAGCTATACATTTTGAATATCATCAGCTCACTTCTTAGGTGATGAAGGGATCTCAATAAAATCACAGGTCCGTTTGATCTGAAATTTGATAGAGGCACTATTACTTTGATGGTGTTTCCACGACATGGTAATCTCGAACTTGCTGCTGTATCAAGTAGTCTGCGGGATAGCCAACTCCTCAGAAAATTACAGTATCCCTATATACCATGTCTGGGCTTTATACTATTTTTTTTGCGTCGGGGTCTTTTTAATATTGTATTATAACTATTCACAATAAATTAGCCCCCAGCAATCCCTAACAGGAGAAATGCTATTCACGTAGGCAAAAACCTTTATATTTTCATTCACAGTGGTTTAATTATTCAATATAGCACAACGTTTTCAACTAAGAGAATTGAATTCAGATATCTCTGATTATTTGTAATGCGGCTTAGACAAAGGAGTAATGAACCTGTTGCATAAATGAAATTAACGATATCGCCTTTAACTTATCCAATATACATTATTATTGAAATCCAAAATTATTCGGCTAAGTTAAGATTAAAAAAAAAACAGTTAAATCCAAATCTTTTTTATTTAAACCATTTAATAAATTTCAATTTGTGTTTTTGAAATATAAAAATAAAATTTAATTTTCAAATGTTCAGATTTTGGATAGGTATACGGTGAAAAGTCTGTCAGCTGTCCGTCCACACATTTAAAAATACAGCTTTTTTCGTTGTGTGGTAGGTAACCCATTGTCTCTAAGAACCTTAAGAACTCGTGCATAAATCTGTCATAGCACTCTCATCTATCACTCTTTGACAGTAATACCTAAAAGTCCATGTCATTCGTTTTACACGAAGATGGTGCACAAAATAATAGGAAAGAATCGCGTGTAATGTTAAAAATTTCAAAATTTAAATGCTAAAGAAATGAAAGTACAACGAAAGAAATATTATTATCTATTCTTTCAAATATTTGTGAACACTGCCATCTAGTGAAAATGTTGTGAATTAGATAGTTGGCTGGCTTTTTCAAGAGCCTGTTTTGCGTAAATGTTTAGCAGAAACTCGATAGAGGATAGTCTAATAAGTTATCTACTTTGTCATAAAAATTGGCAAATCATTGTTGCGTTTACCAACTAACATAATGGAATACGATACAATATACGAAATTTCAGTTTTCTGTATTAATGGCTCGGAAAAATTAAAAACAAAAAAAAAAGCGTTTTCAAAAACGTGTTGTCTTATCGTGCGTGATTTGTCATGTTTTTAAATAGTATTAAATAGCAGATTGTATGAACAAGCCTAGTTTGCAAACCCTATAACTATGCAAGTCTATTCAGTGAAACTAAATCTTTCAGAATTATACATAAATAACGAAATATAAAACAGCAGCTTCCAATAACAATTAGTATATTGGCTACTTTTTTAACTGCTGTTAAAAACGACTGCTTTTATGATAGATTATATTATTCTGTTCAATCTACTTTCCCAACATTTTAATTTAATTTAATTTATTGATGAAGATTACTATACTACAGTGTTAATTATTATTATTTGTTAATAAACTGATGTTAAGACATTTTAAGTGTTCAATTTGGTATGAAACTGTAAGTTACCTAAGTATGGCTCGCTATGTTAGTGCTGTCTAATGATAAAGATAGGTACGTGTTCACTAATAAATAAAACTAATTTATCTATTAAACCTCTTGGGCATTTAATTTTTATTCCTTACTAGATTTTGCCCGCGGCTCCTCTAAATAGGAGTGAAGAGACTTTATGTTTTTCTCCGGGTTCGCTAAAATGCTAGTGTTCGTGAAAATTGATAAGCCAGTTATTACTCTTATATGATCACATCGGAATGACCATGCAGATGAGTTGGCAAGGAGGGGCTCGGCAACCCCGGCCGC